CCGGAACACGAGTTTTACACGTGTCACATTATCTGGACGGATGCTCCCGCCTTGGCTTGGTAGGATTCTGATCGCCGGCAGACCGATCGATCGAAGAGACAACTACGTACTGTAGCAGCACAGCAAACAAGCGGTTTCGACATGTCAACCCAATCTTCCCTGCCGCCTGACGGATTGCGCAAGGCAAAGCGTGCCTGTATGGATGCATTCGGCTCGCAGAACACGAAAAGGAGGACGCAAACTATGATTAACGAGTTCATTACTGTTTGATCGCGACGTGTAGAGCCAGCTGCGAGCCATGCAGGGCTCACAGGCCCATATCTGTAGTGCTGTCAACTCCATATCCCCCCTCACATCACCATCCCTTTCATCAAATCTCCAGGCCACACACACAAAAGTGCTTGAGCTTTCGACAGAGCGCAGCGATTGTGAACATTTTCATAAGCAAAGACACCTAGGATCTACTGTACCGTGGACGTTGAAGTTTCTCCCATATTGCTGCACATCGGGAGTACTGCACCTTTTGTGCTTACGACACGGGTATGCACTAATGAGCAATACCCACTGTACATCGCCACTGTACATCGTTGTGCCTCCCGACGGATCACGTGCACCTGGCCGAATACTCGCTGAAGCGAATATTGTAGCTCTCCACAAGGATAGAAAGGTTCTCAGTGGAAAGGGCGATGTGTTTCGTCTTCTAGACAGGCTGAGGGGGGCCGTTTGGAGAGGACCGCTTTTTAGAGGCTTCTTCCTGTTTCTGTTCTGCGATTGCTTTGGCATATGTGGCAGATCTAGTGATGTTTTGATCCGTTGATGAACCCTAGGTATATGAAGTGATAGGGGCGTCCATGACGCAAACCGGTACGACCCGTGCAGTATGAGACTCGTCTGTGCTGATGAGAGAGCGGAAACCCCACTTCGTTTTCCTTCAAGACAGGTCGATCCGGCACTGCTGTAATCAGGCGGATGTGAAAGCTCGTGGACAACTCACATGCCCCGAGTTTTCGGTATGCCGTGAGTTTTGCAAAACTCGTTGTCTGAAATTTTTGCAATCAGAAAATCCGAGCAAACTTGAGGCCAAAACACCTGTTTTCGCGACTTTACGGACAACGTTATCCGGTTGACATTAAACTTCGAAACGAAAACGCATGTTTAAAAAATTTAAACAGGCGTTTTGGTTAAAGCGTCATTTCCAGACAAATCTAAAAACAATCAGGAAGAACAAGCAATTCTCGCAAAGTGCTTCGGGCCCCAAGTCAGAAGTCAAGTACGGTGGCGCGGATATCTTTTTCTTTCTTGTCGAGGAAGCAGAAGCCAAGAAAAAAATAGGTCCAATATTGTCTTCATATGAGGACAATGGTCCAATAGATACTAGCTAGTGTCCAATCGTACAACATTTGTCCTCATATGAGACCCGGGTGGTCCTCATTTGAGGCCCTGAAAATCGACTTTTTTGAAAATAAAAATGAGATAAATTGGCTGTAACGGTAAAATACCGCACTTAACACTACCGTGCATCAAAGAGCATTTTAGTACTCTGAAAAATGCAGGAGTACATCGCTTCTACTCAAGATGTAAGAAAAGAGACAACATTCGAGGTTCGTCCCACGGTCTCAAAACTTGAGTTCACTGTCCCGAAGTGAAGAATTGACCTCACCAGCATTGTGGTTCTCCCCTAAAAGCTCCCAATAACAAGACGGACCTGTATCTGAGTGACAAAAATGTTTCAAAATAGTCCCCTAAAATGGAACTATTTTGAATATTTAAAATAGAAATACCAAAGAATGATCGGTTTTGATTCAATCAGAAGCCTTCAAAACGCCGAAATTACGGTGCGTTTATCTACAAGTGGAATGGCGTCCTGTTTTCTCAACGTAGCGCATTTATTGAATCGCAACACGTACGATTACAGCCTCAAGAATGAGGCAAATCGGTCGTGATGTGGAACAAACTTAGAAACAGCAATGCACAAAAAATTTACTTCAAATATCTATCAAAGCACGAATCTGTAGCTAACAATGCCGCTGGTCAGTTACACCTCAGGGAAGCAAGCGCAGAAGCAGCATCCCTTCTATCAGCTGCTTTCTTCGCAGCAAGAGCACGACGTATGCGCAAAGGTCGAGGCACGACAAACGGTTCGACGTAAAGTGAAGCGCGACGGCGTGCCCTCGCAAGTTCGGCATCATGCCGAGATTGCTTTCGCATAGCCGCTTCAAAAGCTCTCTTCGAGTTCGCTTCCGCCTTCTTCTGCTGCGTATCCTCAAACTTAACGCGCTTCGCGCGCTCCTCTCCCTCAATCATCCGCATAGCGGCGTCACTTGTCAACATCAGACCTTTTGAGGTGTTCAAAAACCCTCTCTTTAGCAACACTGGTTGTATACCGATATCGTTCCGGCAGGCAATTCGATTCTGCTCTAGTAAATGTAGCATTTCGTCTACAGAAAGCATTTTCCCTTTGCAGCGTCCATCCGGTTTTGGGGAGTACAGTAGTTTAGCAGGATTGATGGGCCACAATCCAGCTCTCTCAAACCCAGCAGTAATATTTGTAGGGGTGAAAGACTTTTCGTAAGCATGGCGCAGGATATTGCAAAAATCGAATACATCATAGGGCTCTGTTTGTTGGACGAGAGATATCTGCTTGATGCAGGCGGCAATATTATGCTTGAATGAAGCAAAAAATGTCAGATACAGTGGCTGTGTCTTCCCAGTCGTGTGTGAAGTTAGACAGTATGCAAACACATTCCCATTTCGTAAAATTGTCAAAGCTTTAAGGCTCATGTGGCTGCGGTAACCGTCATACAAGAGCAAAACTTTTCGTCCTTGCCTGGTAAGGTGAGAAATGTCTTGCACGAACATCTCTCCCCACCGCGCGAAATTAGATTTATCTACGCCTGCCAATTCTTCTCTTGTAGTGACCAACGCGTTGGGGGGAAGGCAATAGTCGACTGACTGCTAGAAAAGTCCTTCATTACTCTCAATCACTCTATGCAGAATCCTTGTATCTTTAAAAATAAACAAAGGTCTTCCGGTTACCCCAGACGCGAAAATGACGGGCATGATCGTTACTCTTGAAACGTTCTTGAACGTTGGAATGCGAACCTCGTGCCTGCTTTCTCTAGGGGAAAACGTTCGAAACGAGGTAATGCCCAGTGCCTCTTTGTCAGCGGTGGCTCCAGTCTCGTCCAGGTTTGCTAAGCGACAAGGGTCTATATTATGGGTTTTAATGAGCTGCTCCACCGCCGCAATGTGCGTGGTCAGCGATTCTGCATTGACAGCATTGAACCGGATACCTTCTTGCCGCAGGGCGCGTGCAAACGCGATGAATTTATGTTGACGTTTTTTTGAATGACCTCACAAACTTGTCTCCAGGTCGGTTGTGTTTGAAGGGGAGTTTTTGTTGACGCTTCGGGTCCATGTTACTGACGAGAATTTCAACTGCATCTTTAATAGTTTCGTGGCCTACCGGGTAGCCATGGCTTGCGTACGTCTTAATCAGTTTAATTATGGTGTCTTCCTCTTCAGCAGTGAGGTTCCGACGATGATGCAGGGGCTGCTCTTCGGGGTTGTCGTCAATTTTCTTGTAACGACGATGAAATGTGGACAAAGGTAGCTTAGCCATTCGCGCCGCACTGCGCATTGTAGCACCTTCTTTTACGTCGTCGACGGCTATGTTGAAACGAGCACGAGCCTGCACAAAATGCGACGTATTCTCCGTTTCGAAATCGCCATGCTTCGAAAAGTCTTGAGAGGATCTTCTCGCTGTGCCAACAGATACGGTCGCAGCCGAGTGAGAATCGCAGGGAAGATATATTGTATTCTACGGTGTCATCACGAAATGGCGTTTTTTTGGGTGTGGCGGGGACTGAGGATGGTGGTGTTTCGGTATGCATTTACGTCGCGGGGAAATGGGACTGTAGTTCCTGACTTTGATTGCGTTTGGTGGCCACTTGGGCTGTTGTTCTTAATTATTGAATACTTTTCGCGGGTTTCTCATCGTTCCGCAGTTAGGAAGGGTGTTCCATTTAAGGGGCACCCCCCCTTTATGCGATCCTTCTCCTTCTGCATGACTGTCAGGATCAGGGCCCCTTTAAGACAGCATGGACGGGCATGTTTGGACATGTATGGACGTCAGCGTGCACCTGATTGGTCCATTTAATACTTTTCTTAACAGTATGATGGCGCACACAAAGTTAAAATAATGGAATCTGTCGCTACCAACGTGCTATACGAGAGCACACCATTGGCTGTCGCCTACCGCATAAGTGCGATTGAATTCAATCTTGATCCAATTTAGCATACATTAAAATTCAATTTAATCATTTTATTGACGTCCCTGAATGCCAGTACACGGGGATCGCGATATAGTGCCTCCCTCTGTCAGTGGGCCGAAAACGGCACTATATCGAACCAGGCACTGTAAGACAATGAGATTTGCGGCTTTTTTGCAGCCACTTCCTTGCATCACTGCTCAGAAAGACCGTTCGCTTCCCTATCGATAGCCCGGTATGATGCACCCGTTGAGCCAATTTACGGATCACGGCGCGCTGACACAATACATTAAATTATTGGACATGTAATATTTTGAAAATCGCAAACATATACATCCAAACATGGCTGTCCATGCTGTCTTAAAGGAGGCCCTCAGAAAAAGGGCGGGAAATCTATATTTGAGGTCGTGTTGTGGTTTCACGTACGCGTTAGGGCGCTACGGAAGATAGAAAGCGGGCCCTCATATGAGGACTACGGCCTCATATGAGGCCCCTGTACGCTAGGACACTAGAGTAGGCCTCCAAAAAGAAAGAAAGAAAAAGGATTACAGTCTGCGGACGTCGCTCGTTCTGTGGTCCCAGTCGTCTGTTTCTTTAAAATCTGAAAAATAACTGAAAGATACCGCTGTATATGCGGTACATGCCCTGAAGCGCAAACGGTATGTATGCTACCCTATACACCGAAATTAGCCGCCGTCAGCGATCAGAGGGACTCAAGGGTCAGGATATCTACGAGCCCATGTCCAGGATGACGCACGGCGCTGGGTCAGTGGCAGCGCCAGGACCAACAGTGCTAACCACAGCATTGATGACTTGCTCGTGGGGTGCGGTGTTGGGGCCATCTACCGTCACCCCCGTACCTGAGATTGCACGAGATGAACGGTTTCTACTTGTTGGGTTATGTGACAGGGTCGCCGCGCTGGTGCTTGTCGCCAACGGTGAAGGCTGACCGGAAGCGTTACCGGAATCCGAATTTCCTACCTGCACTGAGTGATCGCCCGCCGTGCCTCCACCGTCGTGACCCTCACCTCCGTTCTGCCCTGGCCTGTCGCCCACCGCAATCGGCATGACAACCCGGATCTCACTGGGCAGCCCATTGGGCAGAAGGCATATGCTATTGTCCAGGTCGCTGTGCGACCCTTGCGCTGAGAGAGTCGCCACCGGTACGCCTGCGCCGGGCGGGATGGCGCCGTTCTGAATGACCGACCGGATTCTCCGAACGGCGAGCGAGAACTTCTTCGTCTCCTGCGTCACGCTGACTTCGGGGTGGAGCGGGATCAGCGCGTAAATCACAGATGGCCGGTCCGGCGGGGGCGCCCTCGCGTCCGCGTCTTGCTTCGGGTTGTACTTGGCGAGGCGGTCCTCGCCACTTATATACCGGCGCAACCATGCATCCGTGATGAACTTCCGTACCTTTATTTCATTCGTTTCTGTGAATGTTTTGATCACATTGTCGGCGTTAGCTTCTCGAACGTGTTGCGGCTTCGGCTTGTGCATGTCGTGGAACAGCTCGGACTCGACGAGGAGTATGAAGAAGAGCATGCCGTATTTCTTCGCGCGGCACATCTTGTGGAAATTGGTGGTGAACTCGTCTCGCAGCCTCTCATCAATCGGTCCCCACTCTTCCAAGAGTCCAACTTCGGTGAGGAAGGTGTTGCATACGGAGACCGGCGTTGCAGAGAGCGCTCTCGTCAGACGATTGGAGTTTTGCGCGTGGTTTATCAGGCGGTTGGCGTGACACTCAAGCACCGAGTCACCAATCATGGCTATCTCGGCGACTAAGTTGAGGGCGTTCGTCACTTGTTCGTGCTTGGACATCTGTGCCCTGGACGGGCTTCTGACAATATCGTCTGCGGAGTTGGCGCGTTTCCACCATTTCACAGGGTCTCCAACGTCATTCAAGTCCTTGAGATGGATGATGTTGTCGCTGCTGCGCATAATCTTAGCATGCCACATCTGGACTTCGGGGCACATGCGCGAGATGTTCGCGGACGCGGGGTACCTGAGATACGTGGTGGCCTTAAGCTTCTTGCACAACACGGCCTGGACGTCCGGCGGCGGGGACTTGCCGTGGCGCAGGTAGCAGAAGTCGGCGATTTTATCGTGCAGGGCGCCCTTCCTGCGCATGAGGAGGCGGGCGCGGAGGGTGGATAGGCGGACCCTGGTGGCGGACTGCACGGCGGGGATGAGGCCCGTGAGAATGATGCCGAAGGCGTCTTGCGAGAGCTTACCCACTATGTAGAAGCCGAAGCCGAAGAAGGCGGTGATGATGCAGCTCGAGGCGGAGATGCCCACGATGATGACCTCGGCCCAGAGGCGCTTGTCCAGCCATCTCTGAAGGCCGATGCTCAGCGCCAGGACAGCGGACATGATGGTGGCCAGTGCGACAAGCGTGCGCTCGGCCCAGACGGGGAAATCTTGCTCCTCCATTGGGGGGGTGGAGCGGAGGGGGGAGGTGGTGTGCGGCGGTGGCGGGATGGCGGGATGACGGACGAGGGATTGAGTGAAGGGGATCGCTACGCGGGGGTGCGGGAAAAGTGGCGGCGGAGATGTAGCGATGGGTGCGAAGGCGAGGGGGGACGGGACATGTCCGCGTTGGCAAGGGTGGTCATGTGGTTGAACAAATCAGTTCAGCGTCTCCCACAGAGTATGACATAATGGAGAGGTAGGCTGGGGTACGGGGGGGGGGGGGGGGGGGGGGGGGTGTTGCGATACAGTGCCATCCTGTGGCAGTGGGCCGAAAACGGCAGTATATCGAACCAGGCACTATAAGAAAATGAGATTGACGGCTTTTTTGCAGCCACTTCCTTGCATCACTGCTCAGAAAGATCGCTCGCAGGACGCCTTCAATCATACTTTATCTCCACTGAAGACTCAAGTCTAATGGACCATTTCTGTTGTTAGAAGCTGCCGAGCCGTCGCATCGATTTTTTCCTTTTTCGCAGCCACAAATGCCAGCCTACACTTTCGCAGATGTCCAATTGCATCATCGACCCTGCTTTTTTCCTCCATAGTCTTTAGTTGAGTTAGCAATTGCAAAATATCTTTCCGCGGCGGCAGCGGCTCTCCGGCAGTACTTCGATCCAACTGCCTCTCTGGAGACCCTTCGTTTTTGGCTCAAAATTTCGTGCCACCCGCAGAAGGGTAGCACTATATCGGATCTTGCACTAACAAAGATGGCACTATATCGCGACCCCCCTGTATGACAATTTGGCGACTGGTTTCGATCATATGCGGCACGCGGGCGGCATTGTCACCGAAGGCCCTCGTGATGGCCCGGGGGAGGTCCAATCATTAAAATCATTGCTGGCATCCAGCTGTGAAATCTGTAAACCCTAGCGTGCCCCCTACTCTCACCGCTGGCCCATTTGGCCCCGCCGGGGAGCATCACGTAAGGACTGCTTTTTTTGCAAAAATATATGCATTAAATCGAAACTTTGTAAAGCCCGTATAGACACCATTTCTTTAACGGACATGCCGTCGGCTAGCAACTTGCAAAGCATCGAGATAGCAGTTGTCCATACATACAGTAGAAAGACTGCGAATCCAATCAAGTTTCAATTCTCAGTTGATGTTTTAAACACGCGTTTTAGTTTCCAAGATATCAACACACAAGGTTTTGAGGTTGGTCAAAAAGGCTTCTGTTTTACGCATTCTAGAAACGGCCCGAAAACACGTCCATCCATCCGCAAGGCACAAGTCAACTGCGGCGGCGAGATTCTCTTTTTCCTTCTTCTTGAGCAAGCACAAGTCGAGAAAAATAAAGTTGAAAAGTACCCTCATATGAGGTCACGTGTCGTCTAGACACTCTAGTGCCTTTCATTTCGCGCATTTCACATCATCAATACGGACGGTGAAGTCACTTGCTTGCCGCAGGACGCTGCCATTCAAACGGAAGGAGATCACCACGTTGCCAGCGCCCCCGTCACTCTGGACCGCTGCAACGGCCACACCTCCTGCAGGCCCACTTGAGTTGCTGTTGTTCGTCGCTATGCCATTATCTTCTCCGTCTTCAGTTTCGGCAAATTTGGAAAAGCGTTCATCGTCGGTGAAGTACTGTCTGAGCCACTTCGTCGTGATACCTTTCCTCTCGTTACTCTCTTGAGAGGACGCCTTGAATGCTTCGATCACGTCTGAGGCCCTGGTGTGTTCGATTTCAGGCTTGCAAAATCCAAAGCATCTCCCTCGTTTATCCAGTGACGCCTGGAAAATATGTGACTCGACGAGAAGAATGAAGAATAACATTCCGTACTTCTTTCCTCGACCAAAATCCTTGAATTCTGTCTGGATATACCTATCCCGCGCGGCGTCGTCAACTGGTCCCCACTCTTCGAGAAGCCCGATTGCCCTGAGAAACGTCGTGCAAATTGATGCCGGCGTGGCATGCAGTGCGTCCCTGATGTTGCCCGACGTCTCCACATGCTTTTTCAGCGCCTTCTCATGGTTAAGAAGTACAGAGTCCCCGATCATCGCTATTTCAGCCACAAGTTCAAGCGCACGCGTAACTTGTATCGTTTCGGTAAACCTGGCTCTTGAGGGACACCGGACGAGGTCCACCCCGCGGTTGGCAGCCTTCCACCATGAGATAGCGTCGCCAAGGTCGTCCTTACCTTTCAACGTGATCATCTTGTCGTCGTGCTGTACTATCTCCCCGAACCACATCTCGGTCTTCGGCTTCAATGCTTTGGGTTTTGAACACGCCGGAATTCTCAAATAGGTCCTTGTCAGGGGATCGATATTCAACTTCTCCTGCACCTCGGGTGTCGGGGGGTTCCCGTGGCGCAGGAAGCTGAAGTCTTTGAGCGTGTTGTGAAGAGCCGGCCTTTTGCGCATAAGGGTTTCCGCTTTCAGGGCCTTCACGCGAAGCTTGCCCAGAGCTTCAAATCCGGGAATGAGGCCGATGAGAATGACTCCGAAAGCATCCAAAGACAAGTCTTCCGAAAGGAACAACACCCAACCGATAACACCGCTGGCTATACAACCCAGAGCGAGGATACTGACGACGTAGTATTCAACCCTCACCCTCTTGTGCAACCAGTTGCTACAGCCAGAGAGGATTGCGAGCGATGCTGACATAGTGAAGGCCACTGAGATCAAAGTGCGCTCCACCCAAACAGGGAAGGCAGCGACGTCGTCCATTGGAACGGGAGACAAGTAGCGACAGAATGAAGGGTCGACAAGAGCACGAGTGTTCGGGCGCCGGTGACGGCTGATGAGAGGAGGTGGTAGCGATGTTCGGATGCGAAAACGGGTAAACGAAAATGGTTGCGCGGCACACTCTTTTGCACTGTGGGTGGTGTAAGAAGATGACGATAAGCAAGGACTCAGTCCTCAGAGTGGGGGAAGACTCCCTGTTGTTCGGTCATTCGCTTGCGACAAGGGCATGTTTTACGGTCTGCCCTCCCAATAGTGCTCCTCCTGCAATAATAAACCTTTCAGTATGGGTGCAACTCGTCTTTCCCGCAAGAAAACGTGGGATTTGAGACGCTATAAGCAGGTCATCTGAATAAAGATATAGTGGTGAGCTTTCGAACAGCATCCTGAATATTTATTAAAATTTTAAGGTAACGACATTTTGATTAGGGATATTTTGGACATTTTGGCTTCTGCACATGAAATTTGAGCAGTTATGGCACCTCTGAGGGGGGTTTACGGGGGTTGGAGAAGGCACATCGTGGATGGAGATGTCAAGTGCAGGAGGAGTTCTGTTTTCAACGAGAATCAGCGATTTTTTTTAGGACAGAGTTATGATAATCACACCTCCCGTAGTGATAAACCTCTCTGTGTATGGATAATGTTGTCCTATACTGTACGAACGGCACTCTTATTCGGAGGTTGCACTGTATTGCAGAGAGAGGAACGGGCCTACAGTATTTACTTCTTTTACTTCTTGGGGTGTGCTTGTGCTGCCCTCTTTGAGAAGGGTGCAGTGTAATGTGAAAGGCTTCACTCTTCCGTAGGGGCTCGTTATGACGGTGAGAGAGGAAGGAAGGGGAAAAGTAGTTGAGTTGTGATTGGTTATTTGGAATATTTGATGATGGCATTGGTACGGTGCGGCAATTCATGATGACGCACTTATTATGGCGCAGAGGAAGGTGGAGTTGGTACACGTATGGCATACGTATGGCGCTGCTGATGGAGCTGCTGATGGAGCTGCTGATGGAGGTCTGATTGACCCCTTGTCATACTGCACATAACAGACATCCCGCAGGATCTGCGGGCACTCTCACATCATGCGACAAATAATGCCATGTACTGTAAACTTTACGTGAGCCACAGCAAGCCCATTTCGGCCGCCCTTTCCAGCGAAAACAGCTTTGCACGTCTGTGCTGGCCACCGCTAGCGAATCGGATATGAGTACGGTGGCCGCCGCAATCTGATCTTTCAGATCTTCTCGCACTTGTCAATCATTTGCCCTGAACATCAGACCTACAGAATGCCACAGCGCACGCTGACCTTCTTTGCATGCAAGTTTCAGATCTTTCCCATCAGTTACCCCATTCAGGTCAAAAGCCACAGAGCGACCGGCCGATAACGCACAGAAACAGATCTCCCGGTTGAACGCGAACGCAACGGGAATGCCCCCTTCCCGACAGACCTCATAGCTGCACCCCTGCCAACTTATTTTTCCATCACCTCCTTCGTTTTCAAGGTGCTCTCGTGCCGGATGCTTCTTCATGTACGTTGCGAAGTGCTGTTGCAGTTTTTTTTTGTCACACTTTACTAGAATGGAAAGACCCTGGCCTGGTGGCGAAGCAGTACGGTATATCAGGAAAGGCTGCACGTGCCCGACCTTCTTGTTATAGTCGTTTGATTTACTACCCACCGACTAAGTCAAAAAAGCGTGATACTGTATAAGTACACAATATTCTGAAATCCACTCTGGAATCTCCTGGTTGTTCCTACGTGCATTTTCTTACGGTTCAATCCCATGTTCAGCGATTGTACCGTGAGACGGATATATATGACTTTTATTCAGAAACCATTTCTTAAAAGAATTTGTGCTCGATATTGGCATCGGCTATGTATAACATGGGAATGTTGTGGCAGGTTTGAATACATCGAAGGACCAAAAAGTCAATGAAGAACAGACTATTATTTTATTATGAACTGCGTACAGTATTCAGTTTCGAAAATATCATCAAGCATGGTTTCAAGCATGCTCAAAAGTTCTTTTTTGCCAGACTTTCCATGAAAATTCCTGAGATAGGCGGTTTGTTTCCGACTGGGATATAGTTTCCCGCAACCCAGGTCTGAGTTCCGGTGCTAGGCGTTACCTTCTCGTTCTTCGCTAGCAAATAGAAGTCCAGGAAACGATTTTGAAAAGCAACAATCGCGTGACGCCATTTGATACCAAAACAAAAAAGGTCTGAAAGAATTTTGATTTTCGTCGAAGATGTACAAGGGGGTTGCCCTAAAAATGGAACAGATGACAAAATTAAATGGAAAATCTCCTTCTGGTCAATGTTTTGGACACATTATTTTTGCCCTTTGCATCATGCATCGGTCTCACTGCCATAAACAAAAGGCAGGATATGGCGGCAAGCGGCAAACTGGCATATTTTCGCCACATAGCTACGATACAGTCGAATACTGATGGTGATGTCCGGGGCTTTTGTGCTCCTCAACTTGTAGAGCACAAAGGTGTGGTTGACAGGGAGAGTAAGAAAGGGGGAGAGGGGCGAAGAGGGGAAAGCTGTGGGTCGTTGGGGCTGATTTGTTCCACATTTGGGGTACGTGTTCCAATATTAGGGAAACCCCTTGTACAAGGAAGCAGTCCCCCTGCGAATTTTCGAACGGCGCTCATCCGTTCTGTACATTGCATCCATCCTTAGCCGTCCGTTTCGCGCTTTTAGCGCGTCAGTGAGTATTCTTGCGAGTGTTTTGACTTATCGGGGGATGCGATGGATGGCCATGTCATTCCACCGAGTCGAGACACTCAATCTGCGACAGAGGCTTTAAAGTTTAAATACGTTTAAAGTTTAAACGTACAGCTAACGTCCGCTGTCAGTGCCACCGTTCTCATATGCAAGGTCTGTTGAAGAAAGTGGGGCTATCCTTCCTTGCCCTTTTATTTATCGTGGCTACTCGCGCATTTATACTACTACCACTTCCATGTTTTGTAGACGAACTTGTGAAGCAGATGGGGAAGCGTTGCGTAATTATTTCGTAAGCGTTCAGGACAGTAATAATTATTTCTTGACGTCTTACCCACCTGGTAAATTATTTGGCACTCCCATCAAGGTCGTCCATTGTCATTGGCAGGATAAGGCGTATCTCTCTTGTCCGGCCACGGTGGAAACCATCATTGGAGTGGTCCCGCACTTGAACAAGTGCTTGCTCTCTCCTTCCTGTTGATCGCTGGGTTGCAAGATTATTGCCATATGTACCTTGAACATCCGGCCACAATGTATCCATGTCGAGTCGCACGTTGTCGACGGTAGTGTCGATGGGAAATGGGGTCAAGGTATAGGATGTAGTACGCCCCATTGCGTCGATGCCATTTGCCGGTTCCGCGTCGTCTTTTTTGTAACGAGAAAGGCATGTAGGTAAGAGTCCATATCCCGCAAGCCATCTTCCCGTTACCTCTGTCCGCTCTTTTCTGCTACAGGTCTTCCTGAAAATTTCGATGATTTGAATCGCACTGGTGTGCTCGCCATCTTTCGATGCAGTGATGCCCGAGTCGAAATTGAATAGGCTCGACTTGGTGAGAAGAATGAAGAACAACATGCCATATTTCTCGCCTCGTCTCAGGAAATGAAACCTGTTGACGAACGAATTCCTGAGCGTCATATCGACTCGCCCCCAGGCATTGAGAATGCCAACGGCGCCGAGGAACTCGGTGTACACCGATGCTGGGGTTCTATACAAGGCATCTGTCAATTCCTCGGCGCCGTTTGCATAGTTCCTGAGACTCTGGCCGTGGTACTCGAAGATCGCGTCGCCAATCATGGCAAGTTCCGCCACGAGCTCCAGTGCACGAGTGACCTGCACGCTTTTGGTGAACCTTGCCTTTGACGGATTTCTAACAAGATGCAGGGCATCGTTAGCGGCGTACCACCACGCGATGGAGTCACCGCTATCGTCCAGGTCTTGCAGGTTGACGACATTCTTCTCAACCTGCAAGACGTTTGCGTGCCACATGCTGACCATCTCCTTCCGTGACTCACCGATAGGCTTCTCCAGTGATTTCTTCTTCGAGCTGTACGGGCATCTGATATACGTGCGGATGTCACACTTGGTATCAAGCTCGAGGCTTTGCTGGACGTCGGCCGGCGGGGCGGGGCCATGTCGCAGGTAACAAAAGTCGGCGGGGCGTCTGTGCAGCGCGGGGCGCTTCCGCATGCAGGCGTGCGGGCGCAGCACGGACATGCGCAGCCTGCTGGAGGCCTCGATTCCCGGTATGAGGCCGACGAGGACGACGCCGAAGGCGTCGAGCGAGAGCTTGCCGAACAGGAACAGGAGCAGGCCGGTGAGGCCAGTCAGGAAGCAGAGGGAGGCCGAGACGACGACCAGGAACATCTCCAGACAGGCGTGGTGGCGCAGCCACTTCTTCATCGCCGTCGTCACCGCCAGCAGTGCGGACGTCACGAAGGCCACCGTGATCAGGCCGCGCTCGATCCACACGGGGACGGAGGCATCCATTGGGAGAGGGCGTCGATGGGAGGGGGGGGGGGGGGAAGGGGGTGAACAGGGCGTTGGAAGCGGAGGAGGGAGGCAATTCCGTCGGGCGATAAAGAGGACGGGGACGGTAGCTCAAGGCAATGTGCTTTATACGCGCACGCATGCGCGACAGATGCTTGTGAGTTTCCAAATTGTGTAACCTGAATGCTCTCTGGCGCCAGCGACTCACGGACGTCCAGAGCGACAGATCGCCGCGCCAGCAGTGCGGGGGTGCCAACGCGGCCGAGATCATTGCTGGCAGGTGGCAGGAGAAGCGTGGCCAATGGTGGGCACTGTAGAGACAAGATAATGAGCAGTAATTCGCAGAGAGGTAAAAAACAGTGGTTCCTGAACGAGGTGAGCAACAATGGCAATAAACGTGATCGAGAGTTGGTTCCCCTCCTGTGTGAGGGGGCGAGCTGCCCCCGGTCACACAACTTCATGTCATCCAGTCCGAGACTGGTGGGCGCGATACCGCGCCGCCGTCGAGTGTAGATTACTAATTAATAGTTAAATCTACGATGGTGCGCATACAAAATTCTCCCTTTTGGTCCGACTACATTCGTCGCCCAATGCCAGCCGTCCAAGTATGGACGGCGGCGGTCCGGAGCGTTCTTATTGGACAAAATGGCTTTCGCCACCTCATGGCCAAAGGCCCTATGATATGCCTATCTTGGCACCGTCCTTCGGAAGACATATTCCGTTCAACTGAACCACATCACAAACTTTTTGATGTAAAACTACTTCTGGACCCTTGCACCATCTTCCTGTGGCTTTGTCAAACATAGATCAAAGACTTAACAACACCTTTGTTCATCGACCAATTTGTTTTGTATGCTCATTCACGCAGTACAACTTCTGCAGTTGAAAAAGCGACACAGCATTGTGCACACTTCCCACAGAACACAGGGCACATTACACACAAAACTCTTTCCTCGACGTGACCACAACGTAGCAACTACTCCTTTGACAAGAAAACCAGTAAACTCCCAAAACCTTTGCAGGAAAAACGGAGAAGGTAAATCGAGCAGGACGGTATCACACACATCTGCTAGAAAATAAAACGACGCAAAACAAAGAAACTGTTAGACGTAAAACGCAGTGGATATTGAAACATACCGATTAGTTGAGTGTGTACCGTCCCTTGGAGTAGCGCTTTCAGTACCTTCAAACTTCTCAAGACGAATTAGGTCAACCATTTGACCTAATGTCTGAGGTGACATTATCTTTGTCAATAAATCTGCAGGTTGATTCTCAGAGCTCACATGAGTCAGCTGAACCACAGAATTCTCAATAAGTTCACGGACATGGTGAATCTTTAAGTCGATGTGCTTATTCTTTGCAGAGACTTGAGAATTCGTAGCGAGAGATTGAGCTGCAGTACTGTCAATCATGACATTACTTGCGACAAACGCTTCCTTATCATTCCATTGCAATGCATGAGCGAATTCCCAGAACAGCTTTCGAAGCCATGATAATTCCTTAGTGCAAGAGGAGAGAGCAATGTACTCGGCTTCAGCGGAGGACAAGGAGATGACTGTTTGACGTTTGCTTCTCCAATAAACTGGTGCTTCGTTGATGGCGATAATGAATCCAGTTGTTGACCTCCTCGTGTCTTTGCATCCTCCCCAATCGGCATCAACGCAAGCAACAATAGAGTCTGGGTTGAAGTTGCAATTGCGTCGGAAATGTAGCCCATAGTCCAATGTACCAGACACATATCTCAAGACACGTTTCAAGTACGACATGTGTCGGGGGGTGGGTGCATGTAAGTGGCGGGCTAAGACAGATATTGGGAATGAAAGGTCTGGACGGGTGCAAACTGCCAAGTAGTTGAGACCACCGATGATTCGGCGGTACTGAGAGTGCTCCTTTTGCGACAGCAAGTGTTCACCTGGATGTGCAGGGAGCAGGTCCGCATTCAAAGGCAGAGGAGTCCAGACCGAGTTGGCTTGATCAAGTCCGTGAGTTAGTAGGAGTGACTCAGCATAGCGCGTCTGATGGACCTTGATGTGGTCGGGTTCTTTGGAGATCTGCCATCCAATAAAGGAAGAAAGTGTACCGAACAACTTAACGTTGAACTGAGCCGACAATCTTTCCTTGAACCATGACATCAAGTGCGTGCTATTGGAGGCAAATGCTATGTCATCGACCACAATAGCGACAATGACAAACTCGTTGCCTTTGCGGAAGAAGTAGAGTCGAGCGTCGTATCGCGAGGTGTTGAACTTCCAAGAGTTCAGACAAGTCTCCAGTAGAGAACCCCATATCTTTCCGGCTTGCTTGGTTACATACATGGAACCATGTACTTCAGCAACATGACCAGGCTTCCTTTGAAGCCGACTTGAATCCGTGGGCTGTTCCATAATAACTGGAATGTCAAGTTTGCCGTAGAGATAGGCATTAGAAATGTCTGCGCCTTCGAGCTCCAGGTTGTGACTACTTGCGAACGCCAGCAAGATGCGAAGCGTTTCGTGTGTGGCCACTGGAGCGTAGGTGTTGTCTGGATCGTAGTCAGTGAATGGCTTCTGCTGATCACCACGTACACAGCACCGAGCTTTGTGAAGGACGTTCCCAACGTCGTCAAGCGGCTTGAGTCTGAATACCCAAGTAAATGGGACTGGATGCATATCTACAGTCCGAGGGATAAGCATCCATGTCCGACGTTCGACAAGAGCATCGAACTCTCTGTCAATGGCGGCAGCCCAGTTTGGGTCTTCACAGGCGCGTGAGAAAGAACGCGGAAGAAGCGGATCGCGAATAGTTTTCTTCGACACAAACACTGTAGGGTGATGTGTTAAGGCTGCAGTGAGTACAGATATCAACTGCTCTTCCCCATCGTATTCGCCTTCAATACCGGGAGCCGGCTCTTCGTCTGGAAATGTTGGTTGTCCGAAGGCATCGAGTTCCATTTCACGGGAGATACCATCCATAAATGTCGACATACTCGGTAGATGCTCCGAGTTGTCATGATGGAAGTCTTGTGCACGCATGATGATTATCTTCTGCGTGGACGGAACGAAGATGCGAAATAGAGTGACTTCACTTTCCATACCCACGAAGTGTCCAAACACGGTGCGAGGAAGAAGCTTCTTCTGGCGAGTGGTTTTTGGTCTATAGATGAACGCATGTCCTTTCTGCCCAAACTCCGGAACCATTGTGAAGTCGATCCGAGTATTAGGGTTCCAAGCCAGAATGGGAATGTCACCTTTGATGCGCTCCGAGGGGGAGCGATTGCGGAGCCAGTTGCCATGATTTATGGCCTCTCCCCATAGTTTGAGAGGTAGGTCACTCGCAAAGAGAAGAACTCTTGCTCTTACCCAGTGTTCTTGGATAAGTCGTTCTGCAGATCCGTTGCTTTCAGAAGCGTAAGCAGGATAGTAGTCAAGCTTGATGCCGTAGTTGTGACTGAACTCCTTGACGTCTTCCCCTTTGTTCTCCCCAGCCCGATCCAGCTTAATGTTCTGAAGCCGAATCTGATCGTTAAACTCAGTCTGTGAGCGGTTGTGGTACCATTCGAGATGTCTATATGTCTCATTCTTTGTCATGAGCATGAAGACATCAGACTTACCAGTGTAGTCGTCCAGTATTGCAAGTGTGTAGGAGTTCCCAGCGACACTTGGAGTCACAGGACCTGAAATGTCAATGTGAATCAACTCCAGTGGCTGTTTTGTGATGAATCCACTTTTAGACAAAGGAGCACGATGAGCTTTCCCTTTCAAGCAAGGGACGCAATCGAGTTGCTGAAGGATGGACTTTTCAAAGAACGGAACAGATTTGACTGCATGAGAAAGCTTGATGTAGCGGTTAATGCCAAGGTGGCCAGTCTTCCCATGCCACTCCAGGGCAGGATTCTTGTTGACGTTCATAGCGACTGTTGTCAAAGACATGTTTGATTTTGAATTGTTCATGTCGAGAGTGTACAATCCATTCTTCTTCTGAGTTTCCCACAAAATCTTCCAAGTTCCTTTCTCCATTAGGAAACATGCGTTGTGCGGACGGATGTCGTCGGTAAACGCAACAATGAAGTTAGAACTTAGGAGCCCGACTGAGAGAATGTTGGAAGAGAAGTGAGGGGCATGGTAAGCTTCGATTACCATGCCACCGCCAAGAGGGATTGACACTTCTCCTTGGCCAACTAGTCTTGACACACCAGATGCAGCCATGACATCTTGTGAAATACGTGAATAGTTGATGAACGATTTTCGAGAATGGAAGAAATGATGCGTAGCACCGGAGTCAATGTGCGCGCAGGACCTCTTCGCGCTAGATACTTCAGCAATTTGGCTTCGGAAGTCGAAGTCGTTGTTTTGTAGTTGCACCATGAATCCTCTTGGGACTTCGTCGTCCGCCTGAGCGAAGCGAGTCGAAGGGCGAGGGGCTCCTTGGTTTCGGTGGTGGTTGCTAGCTCCCCAACTGCGAGTGGGGGAGTTATCGTTGTTGCGGATATTACCACGAGGAGGAAGAGCGTCCGGAAGTGGCGTGCCGAAGTGCACATTTCGATTGAGACGCAATGAGGGACGTCCTTGAGGCGCTTGTCCATTTCCAGCCCCCTCGTCCCTTAATCGGTCCCAACAGTCATTGTAGAAGTGACCCGGACGTTTGCAGTAGTTGCAAGTGCGCTTGTCAACTCGACATCCGAAGGTTCCTCTTCGTCCATGTCGTCCACCTCTGCGACCTCTTCCGCGACCTTTACCTCTTGAACCACGACTGCCTCTTTCCGCGAAATTAGCCTTAGGTTGAGAAGTGATGCTGTTACTCGACTGCTGCATGTTGTGAGGATTAGATCGACGTGCGATCTCGGCTTGTACAGCATTGACAACCTTGTCGAAATTGAGGTCCTGTAGACTAGATACCATAGCAAGAGGCGCAAACGAGGATGGCAGAGAGCGGATTAACTTGGAAGTTTTCTCCGATTCAGAGAGCTCAGCATCATACGTAGCTAGCTCCCCAATGGTTGTTAAAAACGAAGCGACATGCTTGTCCCAGTTACCATTATCTTTGAAGATTAAGGTGTCCAACTTTTGTTTGATGTTTTGCACCACTTGAGCGTTTGACATCGTGAAGATACGCTCAAGCTCTTTCCACAGATCGGAGGCCGTCTTTTCATCGTCGTCCACAAACAAGCGTGTTTGGGACGCGACGGCGTCTCCAAGGCAAAGAATGATATTGCCTTTTGCACGCGCAGCTCGCATCATCCAGTCCTCGATTGCATCACTCGAAGATGCACCACGGCCGGTGGGCTTCGGTTTCAGTCCAACTAGAAGTGGATCGTTGCGCTGAAGATAAGCCTTCATCTTCCTGCGCCACTGAATGAAGTCAGACGGGACTTTGAGATTTGGCACTTTGCTCAGAGAGTCACCGCCTTCACCATTATTTGACATTATGACGGGTTGACCGAAAGTTGCACAGATGTGCGAACAGTTGTATGTGACAAGAGGGGTGCGAAAATAAAATTTGAAAGCGAATCAGCACCACCAACAGCGAAAACGAAGATGCACACAAGAAGAAGAAATTGCTGATCAACGTTTTCAACTGTAGCCTTGAGAAAGTTTGGTGTGATGCGTGGAGTCCAAATTGTGCTAGATGATCTCCAATTTTCGTTGTCGAAGTTGAACGTGATGACAAATGTGTGTAACCTTCGCTTGTGTTGCCGAAAAGCAATGCTGACGGCAAAGACGACGACAACAACTGAAAGTTGTAAATGGGAACCCAGATCGACGCCAAAGTAAATTCGTTTTGACTGTAGGTCGAGAAAAACCGAATGGAGACCAAATAAAACACAGCAATCACACACAACGTCAAACCCCAACAAGTGCCCCCGCCACCGACAAACACTTGACTAGACTTGACTGGACTGGACTTGACTAGACTTGACTAGATTTTCAAACTTGATTTCCAACTTGAGCTTGAGATTTGCTTGAGGTAATGTAGCACGAGCAATAGTAGCGCAGAGCAGTGCGGTGCAGTGCGTTGTGAAGCACCCGGCGCGAGAGAGGACAGCAGAGGAAGCGCAATAGCTGTAGGAAAATAGTAGACCGACACCACGAGTTGACTTGATGAACTGTAATGCACTACCCGATCCCAGGCCTTCAGGCACTCTATAGGTTCAAGGGTAGCGCAGGAGTCCAGTTCGACGTTTGTACGCGGGGGGGGGGGGCGGTTGAGAAGTAGTCGTCGATTCGCAGAGACAGGGCGCGGCGAAGGAGGAAGTAGGTAGCGCGCGTCGGTTTTGGTCTGAAGGGCGCAGTGAGATTGTTCCTCACCGCGATGCTACCATGAACGAGGTGAGCAATAAACGTGATCGAGAGTGTGTCTTCTCCCGGTGTGAGGGGGCGAGCTGCCCCCGGTCACACAACTTTATGTCATCCAGTCCGAGACTGGTGGGCGCGATGCCGCGCCGCCGTCGAGTGTAGATTACTAATTAATAGTTAAATCTACGATGGTGCGCATACAAAATTCTCCCTTTTGGTCCGACTACATTCGTCGCCCAATGCCAGCCGTCCAAGTATGGACGGCGGCGGTCCGGAGCGTTCTTATTGGACGAAATGGCTTTCGCCACCTCATGGCCAAAGGCCCTATGATATGCCTATCTTGGCAGCCTCGGTGCTCATATCTGCACTCAGCGCGTGTCTGCACTCGAATCGAGGCGACAAGGCTCGTTTCAGCACAGTGATCATATCAAGTTATCGTCACCATTGCATTGTTAGGAGTCAATCACTCGAGAGAACAAACTTGCATGCCAGGTTCAACGCAACCGCAGAGTAAACTCGTCACGAATTGCAACTAAATTAGTCTTTCCGCTCAATATCTCCAAGAACAGCGCTGTACTGCATGATATATACGCAGAAACCGAAATCCGGCGAAACGCTTCCATGCTCATTTTGTCTCCTGTTTGTCAGGGAGGCGGTTCTACCCACTTCTCACAACGTCACAATGGCAGCACACGTTTGAAGGGCTGGCTTGGAAAAGATGCCTGGTAGTTCCAAGTTGGCTTTACGTGTATGTACAAGACAGCTTTACATATTTTGCATGCTGCCATTTTCTAAACAGCTACGTAATTCTTCGCGGCAGCGAGCATCTTCTGTTCAGTGGCCTAGTTAGAATATCGAAGCGAGTAAAACTGTTTTGACGACTACAAAACTCTTATTTCTGCCTCTGCTACACTATATAAAAAGGGACGAGCTGAAGTGTGTTCTTGTGTACAGTGCCTAACTATCAGATTTGAGCCCAGATTTGGGGCCGGCCCATGACCACTGTGGCAGCACCAACTAAATAGGGCAAGTGGCAGGCAGACCGTGCCAACGCCACCGATTTCGCCAAACTCTGTATCTCACGCTGCTCAAGTTCACCATCGCCAAACTCTAGCCAATGCGATAGCATTGACACCGTGAAACGATCAATGTCTTTCGTCCCAACATCCCATAGATTACCCACAACAGCTTCTGATCCGTGAACTAGGTAGTCAACAGCGGATCCGTTGCTTTCACTATTCGCCATTTGATGGTTTCTGGGCCGCGCTGATGAGCATCCCATTAGTAGCGCAATCGGGCTCCTTCCCTTCTTCAAAACTTTCTTTGCAGGCAAATACTGATCTCCAGCACCGTGTCCGCAGTATAAGTAAATATCCTCACTATTATAGGCGCTAAACACCTCCTCTCTCGAGGCTTTTCCGAAAGACCCTGACCATCTCGAAGACTGCTGAAGCTCTTTGAAAGTATTCTCTGTTCGGCCTAAATCCCCGTCGGGATTGACGACGAAGAAAAGACTTCCCGGGTCAACAAAACTCTTTCTCTTCGTCATGTGATGAAGCAAAAACTGCAGCGAAGGCACCCTCGTAACACCGGCATCTAACTGACGAAGTATTGGTAGTGACTCCCACGGAATAGTCTCCAGTATTGAGTCCAAAACAAGGATCAATTCACCATGTGTCACCGGATGTTCCTCGATTTTTTTTCTTTCTGAGGAAGAAAAAGAAGTATCTAGATCTGCAAAGGTCGTCCTCATGGCTCGAACAAAAACATCACATGGATCCGAGTCGCTTTGTAAATCTTCTACTTCTTCGTCAAATGGATTTTTGTTCGGTTGTGATGGAATCAGAAGCAATCGCAATTGGCCAAGCCATTCATTTTCAACATCAGACATGATCTGCTTCATTTCGAAATCCAACTTAAACCTGTGCTCCCACCATTCTTTCTTTTCTTGATCTGAAAAACTTTGTCCCGCTTTGACTGATCTTGACTTCATACTGCTGAGCACATCTTCCAATCTTTGTCTGATTCCTTCCACAGATGCTTCAGTCTTGATGGGAAGAGGTATGCGTTTTGAAATCGTTGAGTCAGAGCTCATGCGCCACAAGACCAGATATCGCAGTGATTGATCAACACTTAGACCAACTATCACACAGTTAGATTTCAGCAAGCAACCTTGTGCTTGCAGTATGTCAACGCTAGGGCACAGTTTGTCAGGCAATTTCATTTCAAGCCGATCAAATGATGTTCCTAACCGATCAACATCACTTTGATGCGAATGAGAACGCGATTGTTGCGTCTTCAGTTGCTTAACTACTGTGCCCCACCGCAAGTTGAATGTACAACCTGCCGACTGCATCAGGCCTGCCAATCTTTGCTCTTCCTTGAGGGCAAAAAATCCATGAAAGTTCCATATTTGGCGACCGAACTGGGGACGAAAGTAGGCTGGCACCATTTCTAGCTGATTCATCGCTAAAATTCTCGGGAGTAAATCGTTGCTGAGCGAATCATTAGAAGGTTCTTTGCAGAGCTTTCGCATACGGCTCCTTGTCACTCGGCCTGATAAGTGGTCTTCTGGAACCTTCTGCACGGAGCGGGCAGCAGTAAATGATCCAGGTTCCATTCCCTTACGAACGAGATAGTGCATCATGATGTAGACACAAGCTAGTTTTGTTGTCTCCATAGTGTGCTGATCTTCTTCCACCGTTTTGACAATGCGCAGTGCCTCTGGAGTGCTGGTTTCAGTAAACAGCTCAACGATAGGTGTGGTGATCCGGTGATCGAAGATGGCAAGATGATCACTCCGCTCATCACTTGACGCAGCGTTTTCCAATCTTTCGCAAATGTCAAGCGCAGTCTTCAAATTCTTCCCAACGGCTTTCTCAACGTTTCTTGTGAAGCGATGCGAAAACGCCTCCAAGGAGAGAGTACATATACAATGTATTGCTAAAGACCTAAACAACGGACTGCGTGATGGGTTGTTCTCTTCCGACAGTCCTGAGAGCTGCTCAAGAAGCAATTGTTGATGCTGCTGGTCCAAATCTACTGCCATTGGTTGACGCACACAACAGAGCGCTGTTGTGATCCGACGGAAGTATGCATTGAGAGGAAGGCATTTCGAAACAATGAGGCCACACTGCTGAACGTAGTAGCTAGCATCTGCAAAGCTTTCGACACTGTGCAAAATGCTTCCGATATAGAGAAGACTAGCTGCAAGTGACATTATGTCACAAAGCACTGCTTGTCCCTGGTCCATACGAATATCAAAACTGATATCAATGCAGATACCACCAAGCTCGAAATGTTCCTTCGGTTTCGGCAGCCCTGTGCTCTTTGAAACCTGCATTAGCGGAATGATGTTGGATTTTAAACGGCGCTGAGCGGTACTCAGATCGCTTTCTTCCACAAGCATTCTGTCGTTGCCTGTATGCTTTTGCGATTCCTCCAACTCTTTTTGGTCTACTACTTGGCGTCGTCTAATCGATGTCTTGGACTTTGCGCTATGTTCTTTTGAGATCTCAGAAGATGGCCGGCGGCACCATGGCTTAAACCCGAAAACATGTCGGTATGCGTTCAGAACGCAAACACGCGGGCTCGAAATGCCCAACTTTCCTCTGCAGACATCACCAAAATCGTGGGCGATTCCTGCAACTCGATCGAAATCTTCCGTTGCCGAGACTGCCGACAACCACTGAGCGATTTCAAGACCTAAGTGCAATAACTCAAGATCCTGTGAAAGTTGGTGCGCTGAAGACATTCGCAACTGAACGTCAAGCAGTTGATTCTTGACGACATCCATTTGTCTATCTCGTAATGCAAGGATAGCGGCCGAGAGTTTGGACACAACAAAACTCTGATCGGCAGAGCAAGGTATGGCTGTATGATGTGATGAAAACACGTCAACATGGGAGTGGCCTTGACACCTCTCCGTACCGTGATTCGTCGCAACGTCTGAAAGAGCATTATAGTCAAGGGATGAGAGCTCAGAGGAATCATTGGCGAGAAATGACACCCAGACAGCATGAAGCTTTCTTTGCGAACATAATTCGAGATTTTGGTCAGACAAGGGCTGGTGCAATAAGTGCCCACGAACTCTTACAAGAGTGTGCAATTTGTCCACGGGCTTACGATGGGCGTCAGGAGCAGAGCAAGATTGCTTCGCCTCAGTGCAGTATTGCATGATGACAGCCAGCACGAAATTGGGATCACATTCGGGTTGACGAAATAGTTTAGTCGGTGTAACCCCTTGAAATGCCAGAACTGTGTCCTCTGAAAATCTTCGGGCATAGGTTTGAAGGCTTTTTCTGTTGCAGCTCGGTCGTCCTTCTTGGAAACCAGCGGATGAAATAGACAAGAGCTTTAAGGACGTTCTAGCAGATTGACACCAATTTTCAAGAAGAACGTAGCATCCTCTAGCCAAATCCAGAAATTCGGCTTCGGAATTGCTCAAGCTTGAGCTTGCGTTTCCATCGAAAGACCACAAGTCCGCACAGCACTCTGCCAGCCGAGCGGTATGGCTGAGAGTGTCCATATCAGCGATATGAGGAGATTGTTTAGAGAAACTCATTCTTAGATTATCACGCAAGAGCCTGTGGTAAAACCCCGAAATCCAGCTTTTCCATTTCTGGGCTCCCTCTTCGAATCGCTCGGCATGCTTTCGGACAAGAATGTCGATACACTTCACCACTTCGCACAGGTAGGCCAATTCCTTCTCCTTGAAGTGCTGCCTTGATATTTCTCTTACTGCCTCAATACAGGCACCAGTCATCTTATCTAAACGAATTCGCACTTCAGTGATTGCCTCGTCGTCCGCAGCACATCGATTGCTGCTGTCAATGTCTAGTGCGAGTAAGGCATCGAGCAAAGATCTCATGTACGAACCCATCAGCAAAACGCCCCCCCGCGGGAGATGTTTGGTTTGAGGTCCAGCAACGACGAGAATCTTCCGAATTGGTTCTAGCACCCGCAGGAACCTCAACATCCGAAGTCCATGCCGTTCGCAATCACGAGCGGTGCGAAATCGGGCCTCCTGCTGTTCGTGGATGTCAAGAAGCGTGTGGAGGCTTGGCACCGAAACCTTCTCCACAAGTTCCTCAATAGTTCCGAAAGCTTTTTCACAAATACTCCCGTCGTTCTCGGTCGTGATCAGGGGATCGTGTGCGTAAAGACCATGCTTTAAAAAGTGGTACTGCAACTCGCAGCTTTCTCGAATACCGACTTCGTCAGAGTGTTTCTTCAATGCCGATATTCTTTTCGCGAACACATCAGGTATTGGCTTCGAAATTGAACAGGTGGACCACACAAGAGCAACGTGGTCCAGCCACGCTGACACATCCTCCGAGAACCAGCGATGATCGTCCATAGTATACCTTGACACGTACACCAGTGCATCCTCGTATATCGGTCGAATAATGTCGTTCACGTTCTCAGAATCTCTCGAATGTCCCCCACGAGTGAAACGATGAACACACCTTAGGAGATCCCGACTGTATTGATTAAGCTTCAGTCCTGTAAGCGTTAAGGCATACGCTCTTGTCTTCAATATGTGAAGCGGATCATTCGTAGCTCGTTGACATTCGTTCAGGAAAGTCATTTGGACTCTTTTTAAGTAGGTGTTGCAAGCTCGGTCATATTGCGGCTCAGACTGTTTTGCGATGGACTGCAGATGACGAATCCACGGCATAACGACACATCGTGCCTCTTCCAACACATCTAACAAAGAGTGTTTCCCGACTTCAATTGTTAGCTTGACAACGAGGGCGCAGATGACAACAGCCGCAACTGTTGCAGAGTCTTTCTTTGGCAAAAGAGAATCGCTGTTACGGGTTCTAACACCACGAAGAAGGAAATTATGGAGGTGGTTGTTTGGTGTAGGCGTTGAGCTCTCTGTCACACTCGCCAACTGCGGATCTCGAATTTCTTTCGACAGCTCATGTTCGAGACTTGATGCTTGAGAGCGACCCCTCCGTACTCGCTTTGCAGCGGGAAATCGGACCGCAAAAATTCGCGCTAAAGTATCGTCAAGAAGCTCAGAAACTGAGGAAAGAAGTTCTGGATCTACAATACCTTGATCGAAGCACAAGCCTGATGCGTGATTGACCGCATGCTTCTCTATGGCTGCGACAATAAAAGCATGGGACTGCTCCTTGCGCTGAAGAAATTGAGCTAGGTCCCGAAATGCTGTTATTGCTGCAACAAAAGCATAGTGCGCACTACGCAACGGCTTGCCTACTACCTCGCTGATGACAGCCTTAATAAACTCGAGCCGCCTCGCACGAGGCAAGTCCATGGTCGAGAGTCCGAGGACCTGCTTGACTCGAGCGGTGACATCCTGGTCCTTGTGCAAGTCTCTCAGGATAGCATCAAGCTGAGATTGACGCATCTGACATGCGCTGATCAATGGCTATCGTCAAGAAATGCCATGCGGGCAGCGGACGAGCTCGCCTGTGTGCCAGAAAAAGTTGAAGACGAAAGAGCGGGAGCTAAAGCATTCAAATGTCTCTGGGACAACATGGTACAGTACCAAGGGTACTGTACCAGGAAAGGCAACAATAAAAAGATGTTGTTTTCTTTCAAAATTTAAAAAAGGGCGCGAAACTCGCAGACAAAGGAAACACACTGAAAATGCTTTCCTTTGAGGTCAAGTCGGTGTACTGTACGAGCACCGTCTTCGTCAGCCACTGTCTGGTCCACGTACTCTGTCTCCTCCGTATGATTCATCACTGATGTCTTGGTCTCTGATCTTATGTGCACAACTATGTTAGCCATACTCGAAAGCTGAAAAATAGTATCAACAAACACCCGTAGCGCTGCAAGGTCTTGAAGAACACCCAGCTTGGTCCTTCTCCCGACTACCGATCAATAGTATGAACTCTTCAGTTTTGCGAAGCGCGGAAGCAAATGCACATGCGACAACTGCCGTCAGCGCTGCAGTAAGACATGATCCAAAAATGGTGGTGTCACCTGATTGAAACGAGAAAAAAGCGGAAGGCTCTTGCAGCTATCGCCGGCGGGATCTCCATGACCTGGAGGTCGATGGGGCCCATAGTAATGACGGTGATGGCGTTCGCTCGAAATTCAGACCGTTACCGAGTAAACGCTCTGAGAATGGTCCGCGCAAGTCTCTATGCCTGGATCTGAGAAAGTGGCCTTCGTCAAAACTGGACATTCGGCTCTCCCGAGGGCTTAGGCGGTCTGGCTTGTCTCCCAGTGAACGTATAAGGCTCACAGCCTCAAGAAGTACGACAGGGTTTACATCTTCCCTTCTCTCCCAGATCACTTCGGCAACGCGGAAGGTCATTTGCCCAGACAAACCACACCGCGATACCCATTGTGGACGCATGGCTCTGCTGATGACAATTCGCGCTTCGCGAAAAGCATCAGACATCCCGAAAGTAGTTGATGGACATGTATATAGGGACCTTATCGCTTGCATCGGTTCCAGTGTAGGTGGTAATTGCTTTTTTTGGTACATGACAACTTTCCTTGACATGAATTCACTCAGGTTGGTTCGATCTTTGTCTATTTGGGCCACAACCGCAGCCCCACTCAAAGACCGTAACCCACTCACAATCGTCGTGTCGGAACCACGAGTTGCAGGTGCTCTACCAGCCGACCCTCTGTCGCCTGTTTCCTTCGGTATGACCGGCGTCATCGTGTTCATCTCTCCGAATGTAGGGAGCGACGTGAACCGCCTCGCAGCGCTCTCCGAAGTGTTCTGCACGGCAAGCAAGAACGGGGCGAGGTACCAGACAATTACGCGCTTAAGGCTCTCGATAGCAAGATGCTCAAAGTGATACGGCAGCAAGAATCCTTGATATTCTGAGAAATAATCTTCCATCGTGGCAATGATGTCAAGCATGATTTCTGTGCCGGTTTGGGGTGCATAAAGGCGTGCCACATGCGACCTTAGGGACGAATCCATTCCATCTATGAGCACTAGTAGTGCCGATGAGGCACATGAGCGAAAGCCCTCAATTACGCGCTCCATCCTCTCCTCGATATTACGCCGACCCCTCTCTGTAGCAAGCGGAACGAAGAGGTCTCTGATATCCTCTGAATACTCGAGACATCTTGCCATATTGTTCGCAGTAGCGCAGGCACTGAGGCGGTATTCCTCCTCTGTAGACTCTAAGGCTTCATCTGACATTGCCGACCGCACTTCACGTTGAAACGCTATGAGACAATCAGCTGATATCTCGGCAATTGCTTGATCCATGCCCTTGATCTTCAACGCGAGCATTCTTCTAACCTGCTCATTTATCGAACTTAGGACGATATCGGGGAGAGTTGAGTTTGATTTCCCTGCAGTATCTCCGTCAGATCCATTTCGCAAGGCATTGTCGATATCCCCCTCACGTGACGCGTTCCGATTTGCGGCCATAGCGAACTTCATTTTGGTTGATATCCGTCCAGCACAATGCTTTTGGAGCGCGAAGATAAGTCTGCGTCTGTCATCGTCGCTGAGAAAAGAGTCAATCGTTTCCTCATGCTCTCCGACTTCCGTCCGATACTTGCAGTACCAAGATGTCAACGCAATTAAATCTGATTCCGAAAGCATCATGGAGCCGTCTGGGTGTACCAAATGGAGCAACTGTGTGATCAACCTCATGAACTGGCGGTGCAGCTCTTTTTCGTATGAGGATGATATGCAAAAAGACGGAGGCAAGCATGGAACAACGAATCGCCGGACCGTTTCATTCTCTGATCTCCTTTCCTCAATCCAGTTCAAGACTCCTGAAACATCTACAAGTCTTCCTCGCGGTGACGGTTGACTTCTACTTCGGTCCCGATTCATTTCTTTCTCCAAGTCATCCAAGCCTAGCTCCCGTTTCTTCTTGTAAAATATATCGCGGATAGAGGTCATTACTGATTCTAAAGCACGATTCCTGTAATTCTGTGCCCCAAAAGGCCGGACAGCCCCGCCCTCTTCAGTAAGCCCGCAACGCTCTAAATGTTTGTTCCACCACACGTCTTCAGCTTCCTCGCTTTCTATTATACGACCTGCTGCAACTAAGAGCCGAGGATTGCTCTGAGACACAACGATGACGTTCGAGAAAATATCACGAATAACGAAATCTTCAAGGGTCCCTCGAGTTTGAGTGGCATCGGCAAACCACGATAGTGGTGAATCTGTGACGTCAATCGCAGGGGTCTCCAATAAAATCAGGTCTCGTAGGCGTTCAACAGCTGTTAGAATGGCATGGGCTTCAACGAGCATGGCAGCGTTGCCAGGGACAACTTTGTCGACACCATCATCAACAAGCTTCGCTATAAATTTGCGTGTTCGCTGCACCGCACCTGGCGCTCCCATAATGAACTCAAGATAATATATCGTGTGCGCAACATTTTGCAGAGACTGTACGTTTTCTATCTGTTTAGTGTCCGCCAAAACGCCGGTTGCGATCTCTGTGCGAGCTGGGGATCCTTTGCCATGACGTTCAAGTACGTTTCTTGGTTTTAATGTTCCCCAAATTTCGGAAGCAGTCGCCAAGGCTGTTCTGAGGGACTCTCGTTCGTTTAGGACGTTGCCGAGAAGACTTCTCGCCGTGTTTTTTGCAGCGGCAAGCTCAGCCTCCCACTGCTCCTGTTTGGCATTGATGACAGACAGAAGGTCTCCATCTGCATCTGCCAGTGCCGCTGATACTGCTCGGATGGTTTCTTCTTGTACTTGACCCATCAGAATGCTCCCCTGTGGTCATGCTCGAAAGCCTTGAATCAAGCGAACAAATCTCCGCCGACCGATGGCCTTGAAAGCAGGTTTGTACACAGTCTTAAGCATCAATTTGCTACAGGAGAATTTGAAGGATGTGTGCGTAACGACCAGCAGTTCACTGCGCTCATCTTAGATTTCCCAAGCCTCGCAAAAACGGAAGCAGTGCTAACGGTACCCCCGACGACTCGTCATCCAATAGAAGACAGGACAAGCGCCTCTGTGCAGCAATGCAGTGGAAATTTGAAAAAATACATAAATCTGAGTTGTCCACAGCACGGAAAGAGGGATCGATTTTCGATGAGAGGCATCGATGCTCCGTCCTCCGCCAGCAAATCTTCATCGGATCTCTCACCAACGCGTCTAACTTCTAGCCCCAGTGAAGTGGACAAACGGACAAACCAGATTTATTACTGTGAAGAGCGCTCGGCGCCTTATCGATTGATTGGGATATGTCCGCGGAGAAGCCGGTTGCGACGTCGTCAGGTCATGAAACTCCCTCCTCGGCTCCGTCTCTCAGAGCTACGATCCGTTCTAGTCGCGAATTCCTTTGCAGAACGTTGACGACCGCAAGGGTACGCTTGCAAGAACCGCTTTTCTTTTCAAAATGATTTGGAGCATGCGTTTCTCTGACGCGATGACGGTCGAACAAAACTTCTTTCTTGCTCAGGCGCACTCTCCACTTTCAGATGACAAACTCGAAGCCGCAGATGATGCCGTTTCCGGTGTGATTCACAGTAAGTTCATATCTACTTGGCATACACAGAGCCAGTGGATTCAGGACCCTAAGTAAGCCGCATTCCCGTCGAGATCTTATGACTAACAGAAGCTAACATTATTCATCTTCCATACCAACTATTACACCTACGCTCACTCCACCATAGCCGGATATCAAGCTGTGAAAAGAGTGATCCAGAACGGCCATCCTGCTGTGATTCTCACTGCAGCGGGAATAGCTGCTGCCGCCCCATCCTTTCCCTGTACGTGCCATGACTGAAAGCTCGCCCAGGGTGGTCATCGCGTTGCTCTTACTCCGGGTGTTGTAGATAATAGATTCACTGACTCGAAACTGCTTGCCTGCTTTTGCGTCTGTGCGGGCTGTAACGAACGGCCTTTAATCGTGTTGACGAGCAACAGTCGGACCTCAAGCCATAGTTAGAAACGTCGGGCTCACATTGACGCTGACTGCTGTGATGATCTACCCAGATCACCTCAAAACTAAGCCCGCGCCCTCTTCATCACGAAGCGGTGCAACATCAGAAGAATCTTGATATGCTCACGCTGCTATACGCCGGTCGTACTGGATAGAAAAGCTCTGCAATATGTAAGGCAACCGGCTTGTGGTATTCTCCGTTGGCGATGTATGCCTGTACAAAGCGTTTTTCCCGCAAGGGAGTTGGGCGGATTGACTCCATCGCAAATTGCAGTAAATTCTAGAAATGAATCGTTAATGACCTAGGTCGAGATCATTTCCACTTTTACCAGTTCAACAGGTGGCTTCAAAATCTCTCGCTGACTCTGTATAAGTTTCAATTCCGGTTTTTCTGTCAAGCCTTTACCTCTCGGTGTCGCAACCGTTCTCTTCAACACAGCTGTGACGGATGCCATGGCATTGCGACACGCTGCTACCAGATCTCCGGGTAATCGAGATGTCCAGGCAAGCAAGAGGGCCGCTAAAAGATCTCCTGTACCGGTGAAAGAGCCGTCAATAAACTCCGCTGTTAAAGCGAAACGCGTTGAATCCTCGCCGTTTCCCCATGAGGAGACGAGAACTGCGACTCTGCCTGAGTTGCTGTCAAACCGTGTTCCGGTGACAATTATAGTCGGGATGGAGTACTTGTCGTGCATATAGTCACTCGCAGCGAATGCCTCCTTCCGTGTTTCAATCTTCCGTCCAGTGAGGACGCCCAGTTCAAAAGCGTTTGGTGTAAGTATGGTTGCCAGAGGGAGTACTTGATCAACATACACCTTGACGACATTTTCATGAACGTATAGTTTTCCGTCATCGCCCAGTACGGGGTCACACAAGAAGACCAATTTGTCTGTTGCTTCCTTTCGAAGCAATTGAACAGCGTCGACAACCGCAGTTAAAGCACCAGGAGTTCCGATATAACCAGTCAGAAGATGAGTGACATCAGCGAGAAGATTGTTCACTCTTAACCCTTCCAGCCAAATTGCGACCTCTTCAGCAGTGTGCCGAGGTCCAGCAGCCCCTTTCGCATATCCTGTGTGGTTGGCAAGTGTCACCGACGGCAAGACGTCCACGTCATATCCGAGCAGCTGTAGTGGAAAGACTGCTGCTTTATTGCCAACATATCCAGAGACCACATGACTCTGAATTGACAGGACCCGAGCAAGCGAATTTGACGCGTCAGCTAAACACATTCCTACTCAATCCCTCAGCGCAATGCAAAAACGGCAGCTAAGTGAAGCGGTCGCTAGGAGATCTCCTCTTCGACTGCCGCAGCACCGGGAGATGAAGGTTACCAAATGATTGATTGTCCTTTTCCGGAGCGGTTTTTTAGCCGAAGCGAATAGGAAAATTAGCCATCAAATGATGCTACAGTGCCACTCCCCGAGGCTACCGCGTGCAGCTTCGTGGTCCAAGAGGCAACTGTGGAGACGCATCGACATGTGTTGGATGAAGTATCACTAAGTTTGAAGCGCCTCAGAACCCTTTAAATCGTGTACTCTGCATGTAGTCAGGGCTGCTGTTTAATATCGAATACTGCACTGTAGAAATCTTATCCGCTGCACCTGTGGGCTGCCGCTGCTCAAAATTTGAAGGTTCAGACTACAAAAGAAATTGTCATTCGAACAAAAATATCACATCGGCCAGAATACCGCAGCTCCGTAGAATAAACACGCCATTTTGAACACTTTTGTGATGACAACCCATAGCTCTAGTCATGAGGTGACATCTGCGCACAGAAGTCGGCAAGCCCAAACTATACACACTACTTGGCAGTGCCAAGTAGTCTTGTACAATGGTCTATGCCTTCAAGAAAGGCATGTCTTTTAGAACAGGACTTCATCAGTGTATCTGCTTTTTGTAATCACCTATCCCCACGAATCTCCAAAAGTCCCGATATTCTCTGACGTCTGGAAACATCCCTGAGCGCTGCAGTTTGGATAGATGCCAATGCTTGTAGCAGACCCCACGGACGGTTTGTTAACTATAAATTTGCAGTTGCCTAAAGCATTTCAATTTTTGAGACCAAATGGCTTCTTTAGCTCTAACTTTCTCTGGCCCTCTTGAGTTGTATTCAGACGAATCGAAAGTGACTTTGGAATGTGTATCATTCGTATGCTTTTAACTTGAAGGTGAAACGGACATTGTACAAAGTAAAGATGCTTTCTATGAAGCGCTTCAAAGGACTTTGCCACTACTTCAGTTTGGGTCCTCATAACATGTTTTTGCGTTCGATGATGAAATTGATCATCTGTCGTTGGCGAATTTATTTTTAATACTGTTTTCCCCTATTATACCCTGACAGTGCGCAAATATACTTGCATCCACATGAGTAATAAGATGATACTAATGTAGATGCATGTGTATTGGCACTATGATACGTGGAGTCATGGAACCGAAGGGTTATTGGAGTATTCGTTTCTTTGTCTTCAACATAAGAGGAAATCGAACCATCGACACCCACGTCTAAATATAATTTCTATGTGCGGCTGGGCGAAAGTGTCCAACAAAAAGCGTTTGTAGTGAATAACCAACATGACGTGGTCGGAGCACATGAGACAAAGAAGTGCGTGCTTGACAAGCTTTTTCGAGTATGTTTCTGTAGGATGAAAGACCACCGAAAAATATTTGCGCGAACACCGCGCTGATTCTGGTAAACATGCATTTGGTGTATTGAAGACTAGATGCTCTCTGGCTTTGCTTGAAACGGGACAGCCACGAATTGATGTCTTTGCAACATTTAACAGCACTACCCAATTAACGTGAAACAGTCGATTGTCTACAGTTGCCCACAGTTTGTTTACAGTAAAGACATGTTCACGCAAACAAAGGGAGAGGACAAACATCCTCCCTCTCGGCAGAAGCACGACGCCTCTAGTTGAATACTGTCCCTGTACCCGCCTGTAGATTCGCATGCAGTGCTTTTTTATCGAGAGGAGACCACCGTTGACGGGAAGAGAAGTTGGCGTTTCAAATATATCTAACAGAGGCACCCATGAAGATGGACAATTATGCCAGTGTCACTGCTATACAGCACTGCACCCCGTGTTAGCAACGGTATACTTTCCGCACAGGCATCTGGCCGAAGAGTGGTAGATCAACCACGACTGGATTGGTGCGAACATGAGCCCCCTTGATGCAAACCTTGCAGTGTAGGCCAGATGTCTGTCAGAATCCGATACAGTATTCATATATACTGTACATGTATATACTGCTGTACGCATGTTGTGACGCCGGGAATAGTAGGATCTGGGAAACACGGCCCTGTACACTATGTGCTTTCCTATCCAAGTCCACTTTCGTCTTTTTCAAGTCCCTTCTAAAATACTCATATGCGGTTGTTCTACACATCATACTTCAGTATAGGTGGGTGGGGTAGTGGTACGGTATATGCAATCAGCACTGTAGCATGGCTTCTAATAGTACGCAAGGTGATGTCACCAGCTGGCGGAGGCGCTGATGAGATGACGCGGACTATTCCGTAAAAGGAAAAGGGAAACGGAATTCACGGAGACGGACAAAGGCAGTTTGGAAACTGTGGAATAGTTCTGGGCATGATCGCTTTCAGACTGTGCTTTGAAGGATGCAACTGCGCTTGATCTGCGAGAGATTAGAAAGCGCAAATGCATGTAACGTTACCGCTGTCATTGAACAGCCTTGATGATGTGCATAGTTGAAAGGTGTTCATGCATGGGCAGCTTAAAACGCATACAGTCGTTGTCCTCTGCTACTAGACTAGTGTCTAGGTGACAAATGGCCTCATATGAGGTCACTTTTCAACTTAATTTTTCTCGACTTGTGCTAGCTGAACAAAATGGAAAAAGATACTCTCGCCACCGCAGTTGACTTCTGCGCTGTGGAAGGGTGGAGCTTGGTGAGATCTGCACGTCCTTTCCAGGCTTTTTGAGAATACCTAAAGAAGAAGCTTTTTTAAAGAACATGAAAACGTTTTTTGTTGATATCTTCGAAACCAAAACGCCTGTTTAAAATACGATCCGATTGTTGAAACTATATTAGATTCTTAGTATTTCTGTGTATTCATAACTGCTATCTCGATGTTTTGCAGGAAGCTATTGCCGAGGGAATATTGGTTAAAGAAATAGTGTCTAAACTGATTTTATAAAATTTCGATTTAATGTATACTTTTTTGCAAAAAAAAACCGGCCTCATATGAGGCCAAGCCTGACCTCATATGAGGCAAATTGCCGGTCGTCTAGACACTAGGGGAGTGCAAAGAAGAGGCATTGCGAAGTTGAATTGTCCTGTTGGAAGGAATGGTGCGGAGGGAATGTAGCAAGACGTGGCATCGTGTAGCAATGCAGTTGGTGTTGGAGGCCGGTAATGGGTTGTATTGTTGGCCCGACTTGTGTAGTCAATTTGCATATCGGACACTTGTCAGAAAGTGGATTGGTGAGAGACGGGCAGAGTGCAATTAAAGTAGTGCTGGTGCCGGATGTGGGGCTACTGCAGACGAGCAGGAGTAATTATCTGGAGAGAGATTGGATAGGACTGGTGCGATCGCGATTGCTATCTGACTTTTGTAAGGCCATTTCCGCGAGCGCGCTACGGTTTCCTTGAAAACCACCAAAAACATCCCCACCACCACCAATTCCGGAACCAAATCGCGAGAATCAACTCGCGACCGCACCTTCCCCCCAAATTTCCTCCCCCCCCCCCTCGCCTTCTCCCTCGACCCTCCTCCTCCTTGCCGCGCCTCATCTCTCACCCCAACCTACCCGTCCTGTGTTCTTCCTAACACCCGTTCCGCTCAGCCATTCACGCTTCCCTGTACCCCCCCTTAGTTTCTTCACGACACGCCTCTGCCAACCATGCACGTGCCCGCATACGCTGTCTAGAAAACAATTACGACTTGGGACGTGCCTCCAGCGCTCAACCGGCGAGAGACGATCAAGATAACGGACTTTTTCCTGTGACGACCCGTCGCCTCCGCACCTGTGAAAACATTTGCCCTACTTTCGCGCTACCTGCCTCCCGGAAAGCGCTTCCACTTCTTGCTGCCAATCAACTCGCTTTTGCGTCTAGTGAAGCCGCACCGTTCCCTTACTAGTTTTTATGGCACGTGCAGCTCGCTTTCGGGACACGCAACGAGCCTCCCCGCTTTACGGTACGCTTTCTTCTCGCCCAACCACCGCCCATCTTGCCCACCAAGCACCACTCGTCCATCTACAACCACACGCCTCAAGCCTTGACCGCACCTTGCACAGCTCTACCTCATCTTCGTGTGGTCGCCGCTGGACGTCTTCCGACGCGCTGCCGCTAACGAAAGACAACCTGTCGACTTGTGATCCTGATCCTTTTCCGATGACTCTCGCAGATGCGCCACCGCAAAATCGTCTCGCCATTTTCCTTTCCATGCTCAAGCGATGCGAGCAAACTTATAACTTCACTGACCCGCAGTCCCAGTACTCGCTCAAGGAGACCAAGCGGCGATACCTCAACGACATTTCCGAGTATGTGTCGTCCACGAGAGGAGTGTTCAACGAGCGCACCTACGTCCCCTTTATCAACATGGTATCGGCCAACATTTTCCGCACCTTGCCCGTTAGCAGTGCGTCCGTTGACTGTTTTGAAGCAGACGATGACGAGCCTAACTTTGACCCCGCCTGGGCGCACCTGCAATTCGTCTATGAGTTGCTGAGAAAGTTTGTAATATCGAGCATCAAGGATTCCGAGGCGGCGCGCGCCTGCATTACGGTGGAATTTGTGACGGCCCTCGTCGGGCTTTTCAAAACCGAAGACACTCGAGAGAGAGACTATCTAAAGACGATTCTGCACCGGATCTACGGCAAGTTGATGCCGTTGCGCGGGCCAATTCGCAAAGCCATCATGGACGTGTTCCATCGGGTGGTGTATGAGCACGAGCGGTACAGCGGGACCGGGGAGCTGTTGGAAATCTTGGGGTCGATCATCAACGGGTTTGCAGTGCCTCTAAAGGAGGAACACAAACAACTGCTGAGGAAGGGATTGTTGCCGTTGCACGTTCCGTCCAGCATGCCGATATACCATGATCAACTGTTATTTTGCGTGACGCAGTTTGCGGTGAAGGATGCAAGATTTGCAGCGGAAATCATCAACACACTGCTCCGACACTGGCCAGTAACGCAGTCGCGAAAAGAAGTGTTGCTCCTAACCGAGATCGAGGCGTTGATAGAAGTAAATCGACCGGAGTATCTGGAGGGCGTGATCGGGCCTTTGTTTCGACGGGTTGGCAAGTGCATCGAATCGCCACACTTTCAAGTGGCTGAGCGAGCGCTCTTCTACTGGAACAACGAATATATCGTGAACGTGATGATGTACTATCGGGAGGTGGTGATGCGGGCGGTGATCGGGCCGCTGCAGCGAAACCTAGAATCACACTGGAACGCCAACGTGTTGTCGCTGTCAGCAAACGTGCAGAGAATGCTGTGTCAGATGGATGGGGCGCTGTTTGAGAAGTCGCGCAGGATGTACGAAGCGGAGCGAAGAGACGAAGGGAAGGTATGTGCGGAACGTGCAAGACGATGGGGGGCAGTGTATCGGATGGCGCAGAAGAGATTCAGGGAGAAACACGAGAGTGAGAGCGAGGGATGCAGCAGACACGTCAACGAAGGGATTAAGGCAGAGGTGAACGGGACGAAGGCGTTGCCAGTAGAGGGCAAAGGGCAGAAGGGGGCGCTTACAAGCGGACGAAGCCGAAGTTTACAGATACTGTAGTGGTCGGGGCAAGGTGCGGGGCGTGGAGCGGACCGCGGGTTTTGGCGTTGTACAGTACAGTAGTGCAGTGTAGAGAGTACAGGAGCACATGGAAAGCCGTGCCGCAATGGCGAAGTGGAGGCGGAACGCAGATGCAAGCGCAAGACAATCGAATCACTGCACGTCGATGTCGGGGGCAAAGCCTCTGGGATATCTTAGATAGGGCGTTAGGGTGTGTGTGTGTGTGTGTAAAGCAAAGAAGCTGCTGCCACGGCATGCATAGCAGGCGGCTCATTTTTTTTTTCTATCTTTCTGATGCAAGAGCTCTGATCAAGTGCTCCGCCTTTTTTTTTTAAACCGCACACGCCTCACGCGCACCGAAGCAAAGCAAGGTAGTAAGCCTCGCCGGGAGTGCCGCACGGACGCGGCCGCGTGCGCCAGTGCCGCGCGAGGGAGGCGGGCCGCGGGCTGTACCGCGCCCGGAAAGGTACAGCGCGGGGCACGCGGCAGCGGTAAGCGCGGCGAGGCGACACGGGCGGGGGCGGCGCGGGGTCTTGTGTATGTTAAAAAACTTTATTTACAAACCAGGGAGAACACGGGGGGCGGGAGGGTGCGCGGCGAGTGCGCGGCGAGAATTGTAGAGACGTGCGTATGGAGACGTGCGACGCGTGTGACGGCGGCCTAAGTGGAAGCGTACGGACGGGAGGGGGGCGCGTGCGTGAGCTGCGTGCGCCGCGGAAGGCACCGGGGCGGTGGCG